TCTGGGTGAGTGGATGAGGGCTGTTTGTAGCTATTCACACCCTTTCAGGGTGGGGGTCCCCACTGGGGTGCCTGGCCAGCCTGGGTGAGGGGATGAGGGCCGTTTTCAGGCTGGCGGGTGACTGAAGCTCCCAACCTCTCTTTTATTCCTTTTTTCTTTTTTATTCTGGGATTTATTTACCTTTTATGGCTGTCACTGGAGCTGAGAGCCGTCTTTAGCTCTAAGGCTCAGCTCCAGCTCTGAGACCTCTGCTGCTGAAAGCAGGTTTCTGGGCTTTGTTTATTTTCTGTATTTGAAACTTTGTTGTGACTTCAGCTCTAGTATCCCGGCTGACTGAAAGCAGGTTTCTGGGGTTTTGTTTAGCTTCTATATTTGTAACAATGTTTCTTAGAGAGCAGCTGAGAGGCGGGCAGTGGGAGGCGGGGAACCTGGCTTCCTCCGTCACTGGAGGTAGCAAGCCTCCCTGTTCGCGTCAGCTGCCTGGCTGTCGGCCGCCATCTTGGCTGGCAGTTAATTTGCATATCACCCTGATTAGGCAATGGGAAGAATAGTGAACTTATGGCTAATTACCATGTTTCTCTTTTATTAAATAGGATATGTATATATATATGAATGTATAAAGATTAATGCTTTTATAACTCCAATACTTATTTCCCCTATAATCTTGTTTTTTTAATTCTTTATTATTTAAAGTATTACATATATATCCTTTTTCCCCCATTGGCCTCTCCCCGGTCACCCCCCAACCTCACAAGCCCTCAACCTCCTAGTGTCTGTGCCCATTGGTTATGCTTATATGCATGCATACAAGTCCTTTGGTTGATATCTTATACCCCTCCTCATTGCCTTCCCTTTGAAGTTTGATGGCCTGTTTGGTGCTTCCCTGTCTCAGGATCTATTTTTGTTCATCAGTTTATGCTTTTTATTATATTCCACAAATGAGTGAGATCATGTGATATTTATTTTTCTCTGACTGGCTTTTTAATTTTTTGAGGAAACTCCATACTGTTCTTCACAGTGGTTGCACAAGGGTTCCTTTTTCTCCACATCCTCACCAGCAATTGTCGTTTGTCCATTTGTTGATGATAGGCCTTCTGACATGTGTGAAATGGTATCTCATTGTCATTTTGATTCGCAGCTCTTAAATGATTAGTGACTTTGAGCATGTTTTCAAATGTTTCTTGGTCTTCTGTATGTCCACTTTCAAAAGGTGTCTTTTTAGTAGTAAGTCCTTTGCCCATTTTTTTTGATTGTTTATCTTCCTTTTGTTAAGATGTATGAGTTTCCAACAAATTTTGGACATTAGGCCATTGTACGATATAACATTGGCAAATATGATCTCCCATGCAGTGAGCTTTCTTGTTATTTTGTTGATGGTTTCTTTTGCTGCACAGAAGCTTTTTATTTTGACGTAGTCCCATTTGTTTATTTTCTCCTTAGTTTCAATTGCCCTAGGAGCTGTATTGGTAAAGATATTGTTAGGACAAAAT